GAACTGTTTCAATTTTTCCTTCCTTTTAGAACTCCTTTCAAGATAATAATAAATATCAACAATGTGTTCATCCACATTTATTGGTAAAGAAGCCACCTTTTTCTCAGGTGCTAAATTTAAGAGCTGACAGGTGCACCTCATAATCTGCATATCTGATTTTTCCTTTAAGATGCCTGCAACACCAGTCTTCAAGCCTACCATTACTGGTACATTATCGGCACCAAGTGCTAAGCAATTAATTATCCAGAGGGACTGCATTTTCTTTTTTAAAGTTTTAATACTTAGCTGTGCTATATTACAGCCTGTCGAATGTCCTTCTAAAGCGGGGACAGAAAGTAAACTGCACTCAATTTCTGAAGACTCTGGATTAAAAAAAGAAACAACAATTGGATACAGTTTTTAATCGGTATTATTGCTTCCATCTGTAGAGAGGCAGAATGCAATCAATAACTGAAGATTTATTTTTCAAACCCATTTCTTTAACAATTGCACCTGTTTTGGTCCTTGCACTTGAGTATTTCTCAGCGATTTCACTATCGGGAAACATTTTTCTAAATAAATCTGCAACGTGATCCGATGCATTCAGTGGCAGGTTGTGCTCCAGTAAAAAGGCAGAGAACAGACATTCTGCATGAATCGCTTTTTGGTTCTTTGTTTCCAAAGAAAAATTTAATTTTTCGTTTTTTTCGAAACAACTCACGTTGTCCTTGTGTTTTTGTGTACGTACATGTTTGAGAAGATCCGCCCTTCCACCATGCGAAATTGAAAAATCGCAACGACAGATGGTACACATCGCAAATTTATTACATTTCCTTGAGGAAATAATGGAAGGAAAGTTAACCGTGTACGATTTTTGAAACGTACACCAGTATTTCACCTTTCTCGCAGACATAACAAAAGATGATAATTTCTAAAACTATTTCCCGAAGGCACGTGTACTTGCACAACTCAGGACAAGATGAACGAAATAACGAAAGAACATCCAAATAACAGCCTTGAACTTGCTTTGTGCTCATTGGCTAATATATGCCAGATGACACGCAGTGGAGCTCGATGCCCATTGGAGAACTGCAGAATGATGTTTCTGGATACGTATGCTCTCACTCACAAAGCAGAAATTCTCATCTGATTCGCAAGGTTTTGTTTTAGATATAATCTACAAAAAATTCAACTGCTTTCAGATGTCCAAAATCACTTTTTTTTGTTTGTTCATATAACAAAGTATTAAGCCAAGTTTCATAAAAATCGTGAGAAATTTTAAGAATAAGAAAAAGTCGGGAGAAATATATTGTAAATCGGATTGGCAGGACAGCGGTCGAAAAGCGGGAGTCTCCCGCCTAAATCGGGAGAGTTGGTAACTCTGCAATTAGATGAAAAAAATCATGAAAGAAGACCCGGATTACAGAAGAAGAAAATCATTTTCCACCAAGATAACACACCTACGCACACAGCTAAAAAAACTATTGCTAAAATAACTGAATTCAAGTACGAATTGTTGCAACATCCAGCCTATTCGCCAGATTTAGCTCCCTCCGACTTCTGGCTCTTCCCACACCTCAAACAATATCTCCATAAAAAATGATTTTCTTCAAACAAAGAGGTAATAGCTGCCGTGGAGGGATACTTTGCAGAACTGCCGAAAAACCACCACAGTCAAGGGATCCATAAATTAGAAGACCGTTGGAATAAGTGTATTGAAGTTGAGGGAACCTACGTTGAAAAATAAAGTCATTTTTACAAATAAAAATTGGTTTCTTCATTTCCGTTCCGCGAACTTATTGAACAACCTGGTATATCTCCAAGATATGCAAATGAAAGACAGTATAAAGTAGTTAATAAATGTGATCAAAAATATTTTATACAAAAATATAACTAAATCTAATAACTTTCCATATTTATATCTAATATGAAATAATAACCTAGCAAACAACATACATGACAGCACAATTTAAGAAAAAAACATGAACTAGTAGTGTTTGAAAATATAAATAGCAGAAGGAAGGTAACGGAACTAAAATTTCCAATTAATAAAAAAAATATTTGTGTTCTTTAAATAGTAAGCAATTAAAACAGCAATAATTATGGTTTGAAGTTTTTACTAGTAATGTTGATGTTCCTTAACACCATTTCTTTCAATCATATGTTAATGTATTTACTTATTTTTAGTTTCTACATTTTAGAATAGTGGTAGATTACAATGATTATTTCATGCACTTTTTATAATCAATAACTTCCCTTTTGTTACTGTACATAAATAATTTAAATAATATAGTATACGATAGTAAGCTAAGTATGTTAAAGTAAGCTCTTCATTAAATAGCACATGATGAAACTTTTTGCTTCTATTTATTATGAGTTTCTTTGTTATCACAAGTATATAAAAAGTAAGCAAAGAAAATAGAATAAACTTAAATTTAATAAAAAATAAAACCTGATTTCCAACATTCATTTATTGAGATAATCTAATAAACATACATAATGACAATATTTAAAAAAACGCAAATTACACAGTGTTTGGAAGAATAGATACCAAATGAAAAGTAATAAAACTGCAATTTGAAATCAATAAAAAATATTTAGTGTTCAGTTAAATATCACATAATTATAGATTAGAATATTTCATAGAAATGCTAATGTTTCCTTAACACTAGTTTTTCGATCATACATTTCATACACTGTTTAAAACCATTAACCTTTTTTCTATCAATATACTATAGAATATGCATTATTATTATTTTTAAGTAATTAATTAATTGCTTATATATCTAATTCATCTTCAGCAGTCATATTAAGTACTGGTAGCAGTCCAATAATTTTTTTGTATATTGAAAATAATGAACATACTGTAACAGCTTGAATTGTTGTTGCTTCTGTATTGATTGTATTTTCACCAAAACCAAAAAATGCCTTACCGTTGTATGTTATTTTTGGTTTTACATGAATTAATTCTGAGCAACACAATAATTGTTTAATATGAATAATATACGATATAGCACTTAGGACGTTATAACCGAATCGCTAATCCCGTGTATCCAAATATTGCCCTGCTGGAAACAATGAAGATTGGAGAATACGAACTACGGAAACACATAAAACACCAAAACAGAACACTATTTCATGAACACTATATTCACGATTCTCATTGTAGCACGTTGCTTTTGATATTTTCTAAAGGATTTATATAAACTTTTGGTATCTTCTTGTAGAGCAGATATTCAGAAACAAAATAAGCATAAATTCAGCATTTCTACGATGACTTATCCTCAATTCACAGGCTTCCAAACAGAAGATCACAACAATGCAAATTCACTCACTGAAGGCAGTTGAAGTAGATGCAGAACAATGAGAAGATTCACAATGCGCTCTTTGATTGACAGTGTATTCATTAAATTTACTTTTAATATAAGCAATATTATTTATATCAGTCATTGCTTGATTCACTTTCAAACATGCAGTCAGTCTTTTCAAATGCCTTACAGATGGCATCTTTACCAAATTACTTGAAAGAACTGCTAGAATCTGAATTAATTGTACAGTTCCTTGTTCGAATTTGGCAGCCAGCCAGAGTGCGCAAATCTCGAGATGTTCGTTTATATAAGCATCCAGTAAATAATGTACAGGTCTGCTTCTCGACTGTTGATGAGTTTTCCGTCATATTGGACAGCCTGAATTCGTCCTTACTTCAAAAATAAGAAATAAAGTCATATTTCAGTAGTGAAATAATTGCTAACATGTGATTTGCATCGATTTCAGAAATATGATTTTTTAAAGTATATAAAATGCATAACTTTATACTTTACTTTTATAGATTAGTTTCTTTTTTAAATATTTTGCTATAATATTTATAAAAAAATATTTTAAGTATTAATTATTTTAACAAAATTTTAAACATTTACTTAGCACGTATTTTTAGTACTAATTAAATTTAATAAATCAAAAGTATTTATATTAAATTTACATTTTATTAGATGAATCTACCGTAGATTAATATATTTAGATAAAATAAAGTAATGAAACATTGCAAAGTAAATCTTATGCGTACTTCAGATTCTTGAAAGGGCAGATTTAGTCTCTTTTCATTCTAAAAGAATTGCTGATGAACTAAAAAAAAAATGCTAAAGCGACAACGTCTAAAAGCGGTCATATCATGATGTTTCAGAGACGTCAACAAATTGCCAAGATGACACGGCAAATATTTTGCACCTTCGCAACATTGTAAAGACATCGTAAAAGTTACCACAACCACTTTGCAGCCTCTCGGGCCAATTTGGGTATGGGACCAATTGCTACTTGGGTATGGGGTAGTGCAAAATGAAGCAGCAGATACAAAAGATAATGCCTGCTAGCATTTATATTCTTATTAACTGTATTAACGTGCCACTGAATGCCATTCAAAAGAAAAATGCTCTATGCTATACTAAGTGATATTTTTTAATTTTAGTCTTATATGATTTTAGAGCAATATTTATTAATTAATGTTAATTTTCATTTTAGTTGGTCATTTAAGAAGTAACATATATAATTAACTTTTTTATGTACTTGTTTTATTTCATGTTTCACACCCATCTTCTTTTAACTCCAGCCATCTTATAGCTGGAGTTGGTTTGTTCCCCTTGAAAAGTCAACTAATTTCCGATCAATAGTGATAATTACTTGTTTTTAATTTTAATTTCTTTTTCAAAGTTTGAAATTTTGTTGTTCATGATTTAAATTTAAGTCTCCTTAAAGAGTTGTTTTCATGATTTACATTCGAGTTCCTTTAGAAAACTAATTTTCGGAATTCAAACTTCCTACATTATGGGTTCCCTCATTTTGATACACTCTACTAAAATTTATACTTAGGATGATAATATAATCAATATTTCTGTAGTAAATAAATTATTTATCTTACTTTGGAAATACTGCGCAAGTATTAGAAAAACTTGTTTTTGACCTCAGTGAATTTTAGATCATTCAATATATATATACGTAAGGGAGGTAATATTTTTGGTCCAAAAATTCAATAGTGAGTTTTCAGTGAATAAGCACAAATTAGGGTCTGCAAAACACATTTTTACTACTTTTGCAGTGATGTCTGTCTGTGTTTTTGCATACATGTGACAGATTTTCCATGCACAATATTTCATATCAAAGCCTTCTATCTTACATATTTTCTGCATGAATATAAAGAGTTCTTTAGATTTTGGATAATCAGAAGTGGTATTTTATTTAAAATCTATATCAGTTTTGCAGCAATCAACGTAACATATGATTGTATATATAAACCATAATATACTGCTGCAATTGAACGAGTGTTGCTTACTGATACCTAAATATCAAAAGACATATATAAGTGGATGAGATTGAATTTAAATTTGCGGAATGCTATGAAAATGACACAGAAGAAAATTAAATTATGGTATTTGTTTCAATGCATTCATTTTAAATTTATTACAGACAGTTAATATCCTTTAATAATAAACCAATTAAAGTCTATATTATTCAGTTTTTAATTTTAAAAATGTATAAAGGGACAAACATTAGATTAGGTTCATATAAACTTAGAAAACCACTTTTTACGCATGGCCAATCATACACAGTAAAATATAATACAAAATTTCATATTACATATCTTTTTAATTATGGGAATAACAAATTAGATTTTGTTTACAAAGAATCAACTGGAAGTGATACTTTACTTAAAGCTCACTGTTATTAGAATCATGAAATTAGTGGGAGGTCATGTGCTGGTTTCAACCGTTGCTTTTTTTTGGGGGGAGGAGGAAGTTTCCAGGATGAAACCAACAAAAATTACTAACATAAATTTGGGACAGAAAAGTAACCTTGGTTTATAATTTTATTTATTTTGCTACAAATGTATTTAAAGACATTGCAATTGGTTTTGAATCAGAAACTTTTCTCTTGTTGGCAAAGATTTAACATTAGAAACAGTATGTACGCTGCTAAAAAAAAAAAAAGGGGGGGACAGTTCCATATCTCCCGTTCTACTGGGCCGATTCACAAAATTCAAACTGTGTTCTTCATTTCTCGAAAGCGCGACTTAGGATATATATTAGACTTATATATAGCACTATTCTAACATAGGAATTCTGACACAAAATCGGACTTTTTCTGAAATAGCATTCCAATTTTTTCCATATTTCGATTCTACGACTGAAATTATGCCTAAATATTAAATTTTGTAAAATTTGGTGTGAAATTTACGGAGAAATTCAACAATTTATGTTGCTGCTTTTTACTCAGTTTGCGCCAAAATTAGTTCACTTGGCGAACTTCTTAATAATATGTGGCAACCTATTTTCATTTCCATTTTTACATAGTGCGCGAGAGGAAAAAAAGACCCAATCGTTCCTTCTTTCAAATAATGTTCTTTATTTTATATTTTTAATTATAATTGTTATAAACTTAAGCAAATTTTTCCTTTTCGAATTATTTTATTGTTACGTTGCATAATTTCTTTTGAAAAATGTTTTAAAATTTCTATTTACTCATTCAAACTGTGTAGTTTAAACAGAGGTGCAAAGTTTATTTTTTTTTAAATAGTTCTTATACTATATTTTAGTCATAGTTACTATTTTAGGTAAGTTTAAATTTTTAGACTTTGTTTTAATTGTTAGTATGCATTGTCTCTTCAGATATTATTTAAAATTTTATATTAGTATTCGAACTGAGCATTTTAAATATTTTATTAATATAAATTTTCCAGAAATTGATTTTATTTATTTGAATTGCGTTTTCGGAAGATACTTTGTAACCCTGACTACGATGCATTTGAAAACTGATATATTAAAAGGAAATGACAGTAAAGCACAATTAAACACGACTTCAATGTTCTGTTCAGAAAGAAATATATAAATAAGAGAGATGATAACCTACATTTTAACTTAGGATGACTTGCTACGCTGCTTTAAACAGTTTTATCATGTGCCCATTGCTTAGACAATTTTATCATACATTTGGTTTCTTAATGTTATTCATATTTAATCAAATATTTATTTTTGAAATCGCAAGAATCAAATCATTAGATTAAAAAGTTTTAAATTAAAAAAAAAGTAGAAATACTAAATTTTACGCAAAAATTTATTTTTTCTTCTCTTTTCTTCAGGCATTCTACTTATTCTTGCTCTTTTTCTTAGGCATTCTGCAAATATATTAAAAATTATCAAACTTTTCGAAATATCTTGATTTTCTGACAATCATTTTAAATAAAGTTATCGCCTAAATTTCATAAAGGCCCACAAACGGCCGAGTGGTAAAGTCGCTGAACTCCGGGTTCACTCCGGGGTTTGAATCCCAGTAAACGGACTGGTTGCATGGGCGTTTTCGTGGATTTTCTCATGGTACCGGTGTGCCGTGGTTTGCCTTAGAAAGTTCTTCACGAAGTATTTGGCCAGAGCCTTTATCAGGTCAGAGTCTTTAGAGGCTAAACATTTTGAAGGTACGAGATGAAAGGAAAGACTGGTTTCCTCAAGAGGTTTTGATTTATTTCATTATGACAAAACACACTAGGGCTATCTGCCTAAGAGTAGGGATGCCTTCGTGGAGGACTTTCTAAGGGAAACTGGCTTGTATCTACATGTTACACATGGGGAAAACCACGAAATGCCCATGCAGCCAGCCCTTCGCGGTCGAACCTCGGACCGAACTACCAGTGTTCAGCGTTTTACCGCTCGGCCGCTGTTTCATGAGGATCTAAAAAAACGTCTTTAGGTCACATCCACATACATCACTGGATAAACTCCTGAATCTTCAAATAATTCAATTGAGCAATCATGGGGTTCTCAATTTATGATACGATATGATACTTTATAATGTAATTTAATTCTACAACCATATAGTCTAAAACCAGTCGCTCTTCACTTTAATCTGCAATGATACCATTTTTGTCTTTTCTGTTAACACTAGCTCAATTGATAGTATTTGCTGGTGTACACGTCCAAGTGTTTTTTTCTTTGAACACCTACATTCTTTGAAGTATCTGAAAGTATCTTCAAAGCGTCCAACTTTTTGAAACATCTTGGTATGTCTGACAGACAAATTTCCCTACAAATTTTTGCTTACTTTTCTCCCTAATTTTTCTTCTTTCCTTCTACAGTTATTTTCAGTGCTCACACAAGAAAAAAAATATTTTTCGATTGCTAGACTTTGTAAAAATTGTGCATTCTTGTCAATTTTTTTAAAATATCAATTACATGAGCTGTGTTTCAAAGTTTAATTTATATGGTGGTTATAATTAAAGTTCCACTTTGAAATGGTCATAAAAGGAAAACTACCAGACCAAATGTTATCACACTTGGGAATCATGTAAAGGAGGTTATGGGAATTTATTTTCGGCGGAGGGGGGAAAAAGAGTTCAAAAACTCACCAAATGAAATAAGAAATGAAAACATCGGTTTAAAATGTGTTTAATCATTTCCAAAATGTGTTATAAAGCATGTTCAATGTAACGTCCAAAATTTTCCGAAAGCAAATTAAATCCTGTTACTGCATTTTCAACAGCATACCAGGAGGAATATTACTGACATGTTGGTGTATCACACTTTTCATTTCTGCCAAATTGTTTAGATTATCACCATAAACAGTGCTTTTGAGATAACCTCATAGCTAACAGTCACAGAGGTTTGAGGTCTAGTGGGAAGAGGGGAAATGTTGGCCTATAAGACGTTGATTCGTGAAATGT